TCAATTTATGAATTTTGGTGACTGTCAAATGAATGTCATCAGGGAGGGTCCGCCGCTGTGCCAATTGCTTGATGACTCCTTTTTTTTCCTTTTTTTTTAACCACCACTACCTTTCTGAGTGTTGGGAAAAATGGGAAAACATCCTACTCCGAAAAATTCAGAGTTCCCAAGGAGGCTCGGCAGGAAAGAGAAAAAGAAAAGAAAAGATTGGGAGCCTGTGGGCCCACGGTGAAAACAAAAAACAAAAAACAAAACAGAAAAAACTTCAAAACAGTAAGAACTTTGAATCCAGCCAGCTACCAGGCCAGCTTCATATCCTATCCCATCACCAAACGCAGCCAGGTACGAACTAGGAGCTCAAAACAAAACACCACGGAACTAACGGATAGAAACCTTCTTGCTTAGGAAGGTTAGCTTCTCTCACAGCAAGCCATGGATCATTTTTAAGCCAGAACTCAGAATTGAGGAGCTCAAATTCGACCCAAAGGAGTGGATATGGGAGCAGGGCACCACTGGGAAGTCAAGAAATATGATGTAAAGTTTGGGTACGACCTCAGGCTGCAGACCACAGACCCGAACCCCAGGCTGGAAGCGAAGTGGAGAAACATCCTTCAATTAGACCCCACGACCTCGTTCACCATCCCTTGGACCAAATATCTTCTTATCAGGCCGATCAGAATCCATAGTATGCAGTGGCTCATAGCACAAGCAGCCCTCCCTGTCAACCAATGGCTTCACGAAAGAAGAAAACACTCAGACCCAGACAGCTCAGCATCCTGCATGCTGTGTAACAACAACATTCCCGAGGACATCCCCCACTGCCTTCTCTTCTGTCCGGAAGCGACGTGGATCTGGAACAAGGTTCTGGAACTTTGGTCGATCCTCCTCTTTGCAACAGCACCTCCCAACACCGCCCCTCTAACTATCCTACTCTTCGCTAACACCCGCATTTATATCAAGGGCAGCAAGGAAGTCTGGTTCAATGTGCTCAGGAAATTGGCACTCTGGGTCATATGGAAACGCAGATGCACACTGACAATCGAGGGAGCAGAGGTGGCACGAGAAGAAATGTGGTCTCTATTGCTGAGAATGGTGGAGACTGAAATCCGAAGCAGATGGCGAAAGATAGCAGCCTCCTCTAACTATCCTACTCTTCGCTAACACCTCCAGTAATATCAAGGGCAGCAAGGAAGTCTGGTTCAATCTGCTCAGGACATTGGCATTCTGGGTCATATGGAAACGCAGATGCACACTGACAATCGAGGGAGCAGAGGTGGCATGAGAAGAAATGTGGCCTCTATTGCTGAGAATGGTAGAGACTGAAATCTGAAGCAGATGGCAAAAGATAGTGGCACCTATGAAACACAGACCAGAAAGACAAGCAAGCAAGAGACGCACACTCCTGAGGGACTGGCTTCTAAAGGGGAAGGTCGCCACCCTCACAGACAACAGGCTGAGATGGAAGAGGTGGTACCAGGCCCAGTCATGAGTTTATGTCAAGCCAAGAATCCCAGGAGGAGGCAATATAATGATGAGCTTCATCAGAGAGAAGCGGGAGAGAAGGAAGACTCAGAAACACGACTGGAAGTGGATCCTCCCACTGTTCTAGTTTTGCATAGGTCTATCTGACAGGCCCTGGATGTAGCCTGAGAGGAACAAGTGGGCAGGGCAAGCTGACAGTCAATCCTCCTCCAGGGGCGCAATCAATGCTGTTCAGGGGTCCTTCGGCCATACGGAAGGAAGCGTGTGTGTGTATTATCGACTCTACAATGTCTACATACTACTAAAGTAAAATCCGGGTCTCGCGTGACGCCGGCGCGAGACCCGGTCTGCAGGTTACGTACCCTGGGTGATGGGCCAGGGATGAACTTGCAGCGACCATCGGGCCCACGAACGGGAGCGGGGCACAAGGGAAAAGGCCAGTGCCGTTTCGTGGCCGGCGGGGAAAGACGGGAGGCGTGGTTTGCGGCCATGGGGCCCGCCCGGTCGGCTTGCCGTTGCCCACCCGCTTCCTGCTGCCTCGTCCTGCTTTCCATGTTCTAACGAAACATTCATTCGATTTTGCTCATCCTATCGATGGAAGTAGCGTGGGGCCAGCCGCAGGTAGGAGACTTCGGTGTTGGCCAGTGTGTTGTTCATCCTGTCGATGGAAATCTCTCTCTCTCTCTCTCTCTC